CATACTTCCCAAGGATCTGAAAGGATGGCTTATACCATCTTTAACTTTGAGAATCAGAGACACCTCGGATAGTTGCCAGACCACCGTGAGGACAATCATGGCAGAGAGAAGCCAGTGAGTTATGGTATTCTGTCTCCTAACCGCTCTAAGCTCCTTGGCAATCTCCTCCAGGCTAATTTTGCTATGCTCATTATCTCCCTGACCTGCATTTTCATTCTTTGCATCTGCTTTGCCTCCCACAGCAGACTCTTTCTCCTTTTGTTCAATTAACCCCTCGGATTGCTTTAACTTATCATCTTCTTTTAATGATTTCATCTGTTAAAGATAAGTAACATGTTCATAACTAGGTTACTTTGGATTCAATGATAGTACTACTGTACTATGTCTACCACACAACAATAGCTTAAAAACCTTCAATTAACACAAAGTATACGATTAAACAGAACAATTCCTAGAAAACACTAGCCCTAGCCAGACACTCCGAGCCATAATTGAATGGTAAAGAACAACTTTTTTACTGTTCTATTGGGTATAGTAATGATCTACATTGTGTTTAATACAAGAAAAATACAACATTTTTGTAGGATATGACGGGGATGAAGCTAACTGCTTCCACGTATGCTCAGACTGAAGCCTCTTTAAGCTCATTTGATATTAAACAAGCAAATTCCTACTAATTCAAGCGTTTTTACAGAATAATAACGGGAACCAATATTAATAGTTCTTATTTTTAGCTCTATCAGCAAACTCCATCATTACACAAAAAAAAAAGGTGTTAAATTTAATCAAGAAGGGAAAGAAAGAAAACTGAAAATGAGCATCGCATTCCGGTTGATTCTAGTGAAATAAAAAATTGGGATGGATCCAAAATTTAGTTTCAAGATTCCAGGAAAGCTAATGAAAGTCAAATCTTAAGACTGAAAATCAAGATTTCATTAATCTAAATACTCAACAGTGGTGTACCTGGGAGAGCAACCTGGAAAGGAGAAGAAGCTGCTCGTCGTCTTCCATGAAACCATCACCATCACCTTTGCTTTGCTTCGCCTGTATGAGTTTCTGGATTGCCAGATTGAGATTCTGAATATCTTGATTCGATTCCATAGAGAAGGAGGAGAATGATTCGATGAAAATCTCGTTCGATTCAGTCTCAGAGCAACCGCGTCGCTGAAAATGTCTACAGTGCAGAGATTTCACTGTCGCTGGCGGTGATTTGATATTTTGATTTGACGCCACTTCGCGTATATATTGTAGAAACTTCTAATCATAAAGTTTTCTTTTACCGAAAAAGGAAAAGTGTTTCTTTCGGGGGCGTGTGATTGTGGTTGGTTTTGATTTTTTTAATAATAATAATAATAATATTATATAATATTTTTAAATTTATATTTAATAAATTTTGGATTATTTTTTTCAATTTATAAAAAATTACAATAATTTTATAACAATTATATAGATAATTAAAAATATCATTTTAAAGTTTTTTATTATACTTTTATGGCAAAAACCCACGTTAAGCCCCTCAACTTTTTCAACAGCTAATGATAAACCCCTGGACTAAAAAAGTGGCAGATAAGCCCTCAAACCCCATGTAAGGAGCAAATTAACCCCTCCGCTAACTGACTTCATAATGCCGTTTGTCATCGGCTTCTATGGCATTGCACCTGCACGCCCTTGCATGTTTTTTTTTTTCCTTTACTTCATTTGTTTTTAGTAATAGTATATTTTTTAAATTAATTAATTTTTAAATCAATTAATTAATATGATATAATATACATATCCTGAAGTATTTTTCAATGAAATAATGATATTTTTTTATTTTAAT